TTATTTATATTCTATTTTAGTAGTCACAGCATTTTCGTGAAGCTGGATATATTCTACATCTCTGTTTAAATGTGCTACAACTAACCTAAAAGGAAAATCCATCAGGCTAACAGCTGACCTCTCAGCAGAGACCTTACAAGCCAGAAGGCACTGGGGCCATATTTTTAATGTCCTTAACAAGAACAAATGACAGCCAAGAATTTTGTATCCTGCAAAATTAAGTTTCATAAATGATGGAGAAATAAAGACTTTCCCAGACAAGCGAACACTAAGGGAATTTGTCACTACTAAACCTGCCCTAGAGAAATGCTCAAAAGTGCATTATACGTGCCACAGCACAATAGATACCCACCACTGTAAAAACACCCAAATGTAAAGCTCACAGCTCATATAAACAATAGCACAAGAGGGAAACCAAAACAATAAAGTATCATCCAAATGATGAATAGAACAGCATCTACATATCAATAGAAATACTCAATGTGAATGCCCCGTGTAAAAGACATGGACTGGCTGAATTGATGAAAAAAATCCTCATGTATTAGCTATCCCCAAGAAATATCTCTAAACCAGAAGGAATTGCACAGACTAAAGGAAAGGGGAAGGAAAAAAATAGTCCAAGTAAAGGGAAACCAAAAGCAAGCAAGTATAGCCATTCTCACATCAGATAAAATTGACGTTAAATCCACAATGGTAAAAAACAGACAAATATGGTCACCATGCAATGGTAAAGGGAGCAATTCAACAAGAAGACATAGCAATCCTAAATATATATGCAATTAACACAGGAACTCCCAGTATTATAAAGCAAATTCTTCTAGTTCCTAGCAAAGAAATAACCAGGAATATGTTAATTGCCATGGACTTCAACACTCCACTGACAGAACTGGAGAGATCATTGAAGCAGAACACAAATAAAGAAACACTGGACTTAACCAGGACTCTATAACAAATGGATCTAAGAGAGATTCTACCTGAACAAAACATTCTACCTGAAAATCACTGAATATACATTTTCTCATCAGCTCATAGGATATATTGCAAGGCTGATCATACTTTTAGCCACAAAACCAATATCTCAGCAAATACGAAATAAATAAATAAATAAGTAAAAATCATACCATGTTTCTTCTTAGACCGCAGTGGAATAAACACAGCTTTCAAGTCCAAGAGAAAAATTGAAATCTGTGAAAGTTATGGAAATTAAACAACCTACTGCTGAATGATTCTTGGGTCAATAATGAAATTAAAATGGAAATCAAAAGATTACTCAAACTGAATTACAAAGAGGATACATAAAAAGAAGTGCTAAGGGGAGAGTGTATACCTTTAAATGCCTACACCAAAAAGACAAAAAGGTCGTGAATTAACAACCTAATGTCAGATCTCCAGGAACTAGAAAAAGAAGAACAAACCAAACCCAAAGCCAGCAGAGAAAAGACATAACCAATTTCAGAGTACAACTAAATGAAATGGAAACAACAACAGCAAAACACAAAGAATCAATGAAACAAAAGTTGATTCTTTGAAGGTAAACAAAATCAATAGACCACTTGTCAGATTAATAAGCAGAAGAGAAAGGACTCAAATAAGCTCAATGAGAAATGCAAAAGGAGACATTACAACTGACACCACCAAATACAAAATATTATTCATTATGCTATGAAAACCTCTATGTACATGAACTAGAAAACGTGGAGGAAATGGATAAATTCCTGGAAACACGCATTCCCAAACTTGAATCAGGATGAATAGAAATCCTGAACAGACCAATACCAAGCAGCGAGATTGAAGCAGTATTAAAAAAATCTC